AAAGACAAACATAGAACAGCACTTTTGATGGTTAAAGAATCGCAGATAAGCTCTCATGTATGCTAAATTTTAGTTACTAAAAATGAGAAATATCTATAACATCAGAACACAATCATAGTCAAAATTGATTCCAACACGAGAATGGATCATTACATAAAATCATACTTCCCAACTTAACTGCTGTGAATCTCAGAAAACGTTAAAAATCAGGGGGGCAAAAATGAGTCAACGGCCTCAGTCTTGGAAGAGATCCAGCATTCAAAAATGAGCAGCTTATGTCTCTTAAAGTCTTTACACACTCTAGCACACTTAATTTGGTGTGTTCCTAGTTGATTTCCTCCTAGAAAAAAAAATTAACCACATAATTTTATTCCAATTTATTTTAACAACAGTGTGATGAAACTCCTCTGAATTCTGATTAATGAACCAGATATTATCCAACCAAACCACTCATACAAGCATAGATTGAGTAGAGTTAAATGGAATTTCAGCAGCAGCAAACCAATAAGAGGAAAATGATAAAGAAGAAGAAGAACAAAAATTTCCCCTAGCTTTTGGAAGCTAGAATCCCTCCAAAGTCCAGAATAAGTTTTTCCTCCTCGTCTACCTCCCCATATAACCCCTCTAAGTGATGCTTTCTCTTTTCCATCTTACAACATTCCACATAGCAGGTCACAGTTAACAAGAGATGCCTCACCATGGGCTTTCTCTATTCCTACCTTTCTGCTTGTACTCTTCTTGTTCTTTCAATGATATACCCTAATAGGCCATGGCCCCAGTTGTCGACCCATCACCATAAAAAGAACAAACCATGTTTACCTCTAAACCCAGAAAGAAAAAGAATTTTTATAGATCTTCACAAATGGTATTGTGCATTTTAAATCCGCAATAGACAAATAATCCATAGTTTAGCATATTGTGAAAGGAGGGTCAAACCAACTCTATGGGATCCTACAGGCTACCACCCCATACAAGGGGACAACTTTGCCAATGGATCAATGCACCAAGTGCAAAGGGAATAATCTATTTCACATTTTCTTATATTAAACTGTGATAAAAGACAGATAGGAAGAAGAAAGGAAGTGGTTATAAACCCTTGAAAGAAAGGTGGGAGGGAGGAGACAATGCAATCTTACATCCTTCGCTGATATTGGGTATCAAACTTTTTATCTAATTCCTGTCTTGCTTCTTTATATTTCTCTACTTGGAGAAAAGCAGAAGCAGACTTCTCGGTTTCATTCATCAGAGCTGTTTCCAGTGCTGAGATCTGATTCCTAATGTCATCCTGTAAGTAGAGGATGCCAGAAATAAGTCTAATACAGATATGAAAGAAACCAAATTGACTATATAATTTATGGTCTTCAAGAGTGTTAAACTTTTAATCAGTAACTAACAAGCTAAACAGATAACATGTATAGATACCACCATGATCACCCACCTTAACCCGAAGCTGGTGTTCATGAGTCAGTTCTATTAAGGCACCTTCCACCTCTCCCACTTCATCCATCAAGTAACCTTGCTCTTCGAATGCTGGAACAATGTCAGAATTATCACTATCACTGAAACATCAAATAAAGTGCAAATTTTATTGTAAGAAATTTCAATAAAATGTTAGCAATTTGATCAACGAACGATATGAAAATAATATTAATCCGACTAGATCCACAGAAATTGCTTATTATTATTGGTCTATGGTTCGCACAACAAAATAGATGAGTGACGTCCTCAAAGAAAGCTAGAAATCAAGGAGTAGGCACCTTAGGTAGAGCTCATTGCAGCCAAATCGTGTGCCAGCCTCTGCAGTTTCGTCCTGCTCATCTTCAGTCTCTGTGTCCTCCATCTCATACTCAGGGGCATGCAATATGAAAGGTCCACCTCTCTCAACTTCATTCCCACTATAAAGACTCCCAAAAAAAAGTACCAATAGAAAAATTTAGACCACCAACATAAATATTTTCTTTGGCACCAACTAATGAGGTTCAATCAACCAAACACAGAAAGGCAGAATTTTCCTACCTTTATAAACATCAATGAAACAAATACATATAAGAGAAGTTAAGAATATAGTACCTGTATATTGATTTAGTTGGAAAAGGATCAGTACAAGAAGTAGTGAGTTTCATCTCCAAGGCATTAAGCTCCGATATTAGAGCATCAAAAGTCCAATCTGGCTCAGGTTCAGCAGCAATGCCCTCCGCTCCTAGGGGACAACGAAGGTCTAATTTAACAGCTCCCCTACAAAAAAAGATCCTTAAGTCAGGCACATCTATTCTCAGAAAGACAATATACGCGAGCCTCTTTATCAACAAAGGTGGAAAAGTAATCAAACTTGATTAACCAAAAATTTGACAAGGAACATTGGATCAAATACTACCTTCTTACACATCGTAATGTGGAACTTTCTACCAGCCGAATACCAGTAACAACAAAGCTAACAAAATCAGATCATTCAAAGAACTAAAACTTACATTGTTTTGAAGGAAGCAGTGATATTTGGAGACTTGATAGGCAGCTTATTTATTGGAAGTTCTACTAAGAAGAATGGTTGAGCTGGTAAAGCATCACACAAAATGAAAAGCACCATCAGAATTCAGCAGTTCCAGTCATTTTTTAATATAATCCATCAAAACAGTCAAGCCATCTATGAACTCAACAAGTTCATAGCTAATCCAATGTAAAATTATGGTAACAAAAACTGGAATATTATGCTTTTGCCCAAAATTGCAGTTTATGCAGACCACAAACCCTGGATGCTCTCCTTCTTTCCAAAAGCGAGCATAGTCAATTCCCCATTCCGTAATTCTTTAGTTTGAAAATATAGTAGTCATGGAGTTGACAGTTTAATAGGAAACAACCATTTGATGTTAATATCTGTTATCTATTACTAAAATAAAGGCATTTTTATCTACCTTAATGTCATGTGATAGGCATAAAATATGAAACCTATTTCACAAGTGCACAAGCCATATCAAGTAATAAAGAGTGAATAAAGTGTCATTCCCATGAGGACTTGGCACCAACAACCCGGTTGAGCTTTGATTTTACACTTTTTCTTAAGTTAAGCAAAACACAATTTGGAACAAGTACAGAATGGAAATAAGATCAAACTAGAACCATAAAACAACTCCAATCTATACTTAAAGCTAGGGGTGAATCTAAATTACTGATGCAGTGATTTGGATTATTATAGCACTGATTACTTCTTACTGTCTATATTCTCCCCTTAATTGCATTTAGAGCTATGTTTGCTAGTATAGAACTCTTAATTACCTAAAATACTTTGTCTTTCAAATCACTAAGAGTATGTTCGGTTCAACGAAGGGGAGGGCAGGGGAGGAAAGGGATTTTGATGGAGGGGAGAAAAGGGGAGGGGTTTTAATGAATGGGAAGGGAGGGTAGATGTTTTAATGTTACCTTGTTTAGTTCAAGACGGGAGGGAAGGGAAGAGATTTTTATATGGACAACGTTGCCCCTTATTTTATTTTTATATAACAAAATATTTTTATATGCCTTTTAATGTGCTTATTAATTTATTAATTAGTCAAAATTTCAGAAGCTTGTTACCTTTTTGGTCCCCAAAAAAAAAAACGTTACCTTACTCATATGTCATAAATTATTTTTATATGCATTTTAAATGATGATTTTATCAATAAAGTAATATTTCATTAATTTTAATATGCTTTTTAAAATCTTTTACCTTTCTAAAATACGATAAAATTACAAATTTAGGTTGGATAAAAAGAGACAAGACCCCAAACACAATACAAGATCGTCCATACATTAGGAAAATAATAGTTAGGCCTCCATTTTAGACAATAATGACCAAAACAACATTGGAATTGGAGTGCCGTAAGACCATGAACTCTAAGAAAATTCTCTATTGATCAACTGCACATTAAAAATACAAAATTGTAGGTCACTGCAAGTATAAATTTTGTAAGATCCATAAGAAGTTACATAATTGATGGGGAAACAACCCCTTCAAAACCTTGATTGCAAGGAGAATGCTATGATATGAACTTCAGAGCCATAAGCCAATCCCTTATAAGTTAATACTTTAAACAACAATGAAGGGTATAAAGTATAAACTGTGTACATAAGGTTGCACATCAAACTTCACCAAGGTTGAGAGGCAAAAGTCACAAGCAATCAGTCTAATGAAAGTGAAGATCACCATAGGACAGGTAAGACAAATCAATCAATTGATGTCCCATGTGATCATGAAGTCACCTAAACAGTAAACACAGAGAAAAAGCAATTGTTCATGGTTAGTTGATTGTAAGAGTCAAACATGCAGCACCTCAAGCAATTAGATTGGAAACTCAATAGTACTAATAATACAAGAGTATCCTTGATTTAAACCTTCAAACATGCCTTACAGCTTCACAGTACGTTCTCAAAAATGATTGAGCATAAATATCAAATTAGATAAGGAACGAAGTAGACCAAATAGAAAGCCACAAGATTCCAATGCAAAAACAATCACTTTGGATGGTCCCCCTGGAACAGAGAAGTCATATTTAACAAAGGATGTAGCTAAATAAGCAGAATCAACATTCATTATATACATTATATTGCATTCCTTATGGCGCAGATATCGGGGTTGGCTCATTATGGAATGAATACTGTTATATGGAACTCAATCAAGGATGTCTTAACCAAAAAGCTACTTTAAAGTGCATATCGATGTTCCCAACTCATGTATTGCATTTATAAATTTCAGTTATTTGGTTTTGTTTAGTCAGGCTTCAACTTCCAATGTATTTTTATGTAATAACTTCGACCCTTCTTGGTTTATCCTACATTGCAAGTCAGAAAATTTTAAGTTCGACTAATTGTGAGAGAAACTAGAAACAAAGAAGAAACGGGAAATCTGAGTCAAAGAAGAAAAGGAATAAAACCAGAAATACTAAACCAGATAGTTGAGATATGCATGAGCAAGAACAAGGATGAAGAAAAAAGAATCGATAAGACCTAGGCGAGATACTCGCCTAAAGACAATGAAGATGGATAGAGGAAGAGAGGCGGCGGCGGCCGGACCAGGTGGCGTCGACGACGACTGGAGGAAAGGCGGGCCGATGAGGGAAGAAGAGCGGCGGAACCCCGAAGAGAGAGAAACGAGCAGGGCTTACCGTTTACAAGTTAAAAGGGCAACACCGGAATATTTTGAAAAAGCTATGGGCAATTCTGTCAGGACATTGGAAAAAATTTCCCACCCCTTAAGAAAACCCAATTTGGGAGGAACTGTAGGTGCACTGTGTCAAGTAATAAAATGTACTCAAAGATAAAACCGTTTTTAAATTGAGATTTGATTTTTGTCCGGATTGATATTTTTAAAATTATTAATTTAAAAACGACAAAATAAATAAATTAGAAAAAAATTTCAAAAAAATTTTAAAAAATAATAAAAAGATAAATTAGAGAATTGAAAATCCTATTTGAGGCCTTAGAAGTAGAAATAACGTAAAAATAAATTATTACAGAATTTTTTATAAACAAAGGTTTTCTCAAAAACATTGAAAAGTTAGTCATAAATAATTATTTTAAATGTGTAGAGGCCACAATAATTCCAGAAAAATTGTGAAAAAATTATTTGAGGATTTATTTAAGTTTATAAAATTATTTTTAGGTCTTGAAAGTGAAAGAATTAATTTTAAAATATTTATTACCAAAATCTTATCAGTAAAGCCTGATTTTAGAGAAAATTCAAAATAAATAGTTATAAATTGAGATAAAATTTAGAAAAATTCAGGGAACCTTTTTATATTAAAATATGATTTTAAATGGGTAAAAATAAATTTTTGGAGTTCCAAAAATATTATTAAAAATTAGAAAAAATTTTAGCAGATATGACAAAATCGGGTGAAAAAATATTTGGAGATGAAAGGTAATACTTATTCTTTCTTTCTCTAGGCCATTGGGCTAGATTATGGACCAGAAATAAACAGTAAATTCGTGACCCAAGTGGTCCACATGATTATGGACCAAAATAATGTAAAATATCACATAATTTTATCCTAAACATTATTACACAATGAGAAAAGTATTGAGTAAAAATGGCTCTCGTGCTCTCAAAGAAAGGTCCTACGCTGGCTCCTCCTTCTAATGAAGAAGAGGATTTACTCAGGCGGAAATCTAAGAAAATAAAAAATGGAACCATTGGAGAATGCTCTAAGATGGAAGAGTGGCCTAGACTAGGAGAAGAAATTACTCCCTAACGGAAGAAAGCTGGTCCGACGTTTGCGTAAAAAACCTAAGGGAGTTACCCAGGAGGATGATCCGTCTGATGAAGAAATAGAGGATTAAAGTTATATCAGATGACTCCCTCTCTGAAGATTCCTCTCCAGAGACAGAGAATGAGAAAAAAGAACCGATCGTCAGAATACGAGAAGATCCGAACCGTAATTTTCCTACCTTCCACTTCTTTGGGAGACTAAAGAAAAAACTCTACAGGGCTTGGAGGAAGGCTGTCATTGTGAAGTTGCTTGATCATCATGTTGGGTATAAAGCCCTAGAAGCTCGCCTCCAAGCTTTGTGGGCAAAACGTGGAGTGATCAATCTGATCAACATTGGGTATGGATTTTTTGTGGTCAAACTATCAAATAGGGAGGATTATTTTAATGCGTTAACAGGAGGTCCTTGGATGCTTTATGATCATTATCTAACGGTGAGGCCTTGGGAACCAAGATTTAATCCAGCAAAGGAAAAAATTGATAAAGTTGCTGTTTGGGTGAGACTTCCAAGAGTTTCTCTGGAATATTATGATGAAGAAGCACTAACCATTATTGGAAACAGAATTGGAGAGACAATCAAAGTGGATATGAATACTTCCTGTCAACTCAGGGGACATTATGCAAGAATGTGTGTGCTTGTTGATCTGGGCAAACAATTAATGTCCGGGTTTTCTTTGGATGGAGAAGATTATTATTTAGAGTACGAGGGACTACATTCTTTATGTACCAATTGCAGTGTCTATGGTCATAATAGATCTGTATGCCCATCGAGAAGAAAGGAGACAGAAATTCCAGAGGCTGCTAATGGAGATCGTTTCAGTCAAGGTAATGTAAATCTCAACAATCCGATAGGAAATGTGGATTCAAACAGCAACGAACAAGAACAGTGGAGGGTGGTGCAAAAGCCTCACTAGAAGAAAGGGAAGCAGAAACAAGGTGAAATTATCCGGCAACAGAATCAAGGGTCAAGATTTGATGTCCTTGCTGACATGGAGGAGCCTGCAAATGTGCCGAAACGTTTTGAAGCTAATATCATGCATGCAGAACAAAAAGGTGATAACGTACAAGGTAGTGGTGTGGTTGCTAATTCTGTGCGACGTACGAGAGGAAAGAAAACTGGGCATAATAGAAAAGCAGAAAAGCATAACGGTCTTACTGATTGTGTGGTCCCAGTACCAGATATGGAGGGAGCTGAAACAGTAGTGGAGAAGGGCAAAAGAGAGAAACGATCACGGGAAATGTTTAGTAATCATATGAGAAATAATGAAATTTTGATGCTCACCTTGGATGAGACAAATGAGGAGACACAACGAGAAGATACAATGGTAAAATCTGACGAGATTATGTCTGTGAGAAGAAGTGAAGATCTCATGGACCTTCAAGAAAAACCTTCCTCCTTGCCGCATGATCCTGGAGAAGACAAGGGAATGGGTATTGAGCCTGGACCATTGGAAGATGGGCTGAGTCCTTGTAGGCCCTATCAGGATAACCCAATAGCCGAAGACTCCCAAGCAGATTTAATGAGAGACGAGACTGTGGTGGATGAGACCCAGTTCTCCATGTGATACTCCTTTGGGCTTTTGCCTTTTCTGAACCCATTTACTTAATGGATTGTGTCTTTTACTGGAATTCAAGAGGGGCTTGCAGTAAAAGCCTCATAAGTTACCTGAAGGTCTGTCTTAATGGAATTAAACCCCACATCATTATTCTCGCTGAAACACGATGCGAAGACAATTCACTTTTTCAAGCGTTGGAGGCTTTGGGTTTCGACTTGTACACTGCTATCCCAAGCACAGGTCGGTCAGGAGGTATTGTAGTGGCTTGGCGGAGCAATAACGTGGGAGTTTCCATACTTGAAACGGATAGGCAATTTATTCATCTCTGCTGCTCCCTACCAGATAAATTGTTGTTCCTCCTCATGGCAATCTATGCGGTTCCCCATTCCAATTTAAGAAAAATCCTTTGGGAGAAATTGAAGGCCTTGTCAACAACAATCTCCGTCCCATGGGTGGTCTATGGTGACTTTAATGATATAGCTTCTTCATCTGAGAGAATTGGGGGTGCTAGTGTTTCTATGAAGAGAATGGAGTGGTTTAATGAACATATCAATTCTTGCTCTCTCCCGGATTTGGGGAGTATAGGTCCAAGATTCACTTGGAAGGGACCTAAATTGCCTGGATGTGCCAGATTGTTCGAAAGGTTGGATAGAGCTTTAGTTAACTCCTACTATCTTAATGCATTCTCCGACAGCTACCTCAAGGTACTACCCCGTACAAACTTTTTTGATCATAATCCTCTTGTTTTGTATTTGCATGAATCACCTTCTTTTGGCTTTGGGGCTAAACCATTTAGATTTGAAGCTATGTGGACTGAACATGCTAATTTTAAAGAATTTCTAAAAGAAGCTTGGGAGGCTGATGGATTACTCGATGTGTCTCTGTTGAACTTTCAAAATAATATTCTTAAATGGAATAGAGAGGTGTTCGGGCTTGTTGAGAAAAGGAAGAAGGACATCATGTCTAGACTTAATGGAATTCAGAAAGCTGATGCTTACCCCTTTTCTAGATTTCTGTGTAAATTAGAATGATCCCTCCAAGCTGAATTGGAAGAGGTTTTGAAGTTAGAAGAAATTAAATGGTTCCAGAAGTCTAGAACAAATTGCGTCACCAAAGGAGACCGCAATACCAGATACTATCATTTGAAGACTAAGTTCAGAAGAAAGAAGAACAGGGTCTTGACTCTAAAAAATGCTGATGGAATCTGGATTGATGACGTTGATGATTTGAAATCAATGGTTGTTGATTATTTTGAAAACCTATATAAATCTGATTCAAATGGAACCCCCATTCTGCAAACCATTTCGACTTTTCCTACAGTGGAAGGGGCCTTTAATGATCTTTGCAGAATTCCTACTGAAGAAGAAGTTCGTTCTGCTATATTTTCTATGGGACCTTATAAAGCCCCTGGTTTTGATGGTTTTTCACCTTTTTTCTATCAAACCAACTGGGAGGTAGTGGGACCTTCTATCTACAAATTCGTACGAGGTGTGTTTTTTGGAGAAATTATTCCGACAGAAGCTAAAAAGACCCTTATTTCTCTTATTCCAAAAGTAGAGAAACCTGAAACAGTTGGCCAATTTAGACCAATCTCTTTATGTTCAGTTCACTACAAGTGTGTTACAAAAGTGCTAACCCAAAGAATGAAGGAGGTAATGAATGAGATCATATCCCCTTTCCAAGCTAGCTTTATAAAAAGGAGACATATTCAGGATAATATAATTATTGGTCAGGAAATTCTTCACATTATAAGGAGGAATAAGAGCAAGAAAGGTCTGATGGCTATGAAGATTGACCTAGCTAAGGCTTATGATAGGATCTGATGGGATTTCCTACAAGAAGTGCTATATGAGGCTGGTATGAATGATGATGCTGTGAAGCTAATCATGACTTGCATAAATTCTGTCTCTTATAATGTGCTGTGGAATGGCTCCAAGATGCAGTACTTCCAACCTCAGAGAGGACTGAGACAAGGAGACCCAATTTCACCTCTGCTATTTGTCCTTTGCATGGATAAACTCTCCCACATTATTATGGATGCAGTGAATGAAGGTAGTTGGAAACCGGTTAAGATTGGGAATTAAGGGCCACATATTTCTCATCTTTTATTTGCAGATGATCTACTGCTATTTGGTGTGGCTACTGAAAAACAAGCGAAATGTATGATGGAATGCCTAGACAGATTTACCCAAGCTTCAGGGGGAATGGTTAATCATAGCAAGTCTTCTTTATTCTTTTCACCTAAAGTGCCTACTGGAGTGAAAAGCAAGATTAAAAGAGTTGCTCGAATGAAAGCTTCCACTGAGATCGGAAGGTACTTGGGTTTTCCTCTTACTTCAAGTAGGAAACCTGTAGAAACCTTTCAGTATATTGTTGACCGTGTCAGGACAAAGCTTGCTGGTTGGAAAGCTAATAGCCTCTCTCTAGCGGGAAGAATTACTCTAGCTAAGTCAGTGTTGAACTCCATTTCCCTTGTACCCAATGCAAGTTTCCAAAATTCCTAAGAAAATTTGCACAAAAATAGAGAGATTGCAGAGTAATTTTATTTGGGGAACTCAGCAGAATGACCATAGTTATCATCCAGTTGGTTGGCATCAGCTAGCCTTGCCTAAATCCTATGGTGGTTTGGGATTTAAACACCTCTCTTCTGTCAACAAGGCCTGTGGTGCAAAATTAGCTTGGAAGGTAATTATGGGGGAGAAAGGATTATGGGTGGATATCTTAAGCCACAAGTATATGTGGAGGGATCAGGACAATTTGCTTAATGTGAATTCTGGAGATTCGAAGTTATGGAAGTTTATTTGTGATCATAAAGACATTGTTGAAAAAGGGACAAAATGGCAGATTCGAAATGGTTCTTTTGTCAACTTTTTCAATGACTTGTGGTTGTTCCTGGATAAAAAAAATAAAGGAGATGTGCCTAAGGCCCCATACCCAAGAGGAAAATGATAGTGTAGTTGCTGATTGGACCTTATTTGGAGCATGGGACTTCAACAAGCTAAAGAGTGTTGTTAATGAAGCAGTGTTGCAGCGGCTAATTGGTGTGTTACCACCCCTGGAGAATGTAGGAAATGATGTTATGTTATGGAATGCTTCAGGAAATGGCATCTTTAGCTTGAAAAGTGCCTATTATCTTATTGAGGAAATGGATCATGAGTAGTATCATCCTACGTATAAATTTATTTGTAGATGGAGAGGAGCAGAAAGAATAAGGGTTTTTCTTTGGAGAATTTTTAATGATAGACTTCCAACAAATTATTGGAGAAGCAAATGGGCTCAGACTTCGGCCAGCTATGACTACTGTCACACAAACACTGAGGATACCCTACATGTTTTAAGAGACTGCTCTTATGCGCGGGGAATTTGGTTAGAGTTGATGAAACCCAGGTATATTTCTGAATTCTTTAATGCTTCCTTAAAGGATTGGATCTCTGACAATCTGAAACAAAATAGAGGAAACATCCTTAATGCCTAATGGGATCTCCTGTGGGGTGTGGTAGTCTGGAAGTTATGGCTATGGAGGAATAATTCTGTCTTTGATGCGGAAAAAGAGAGACCGCACAATCCTGTGCTTATCATTCGAAATTGCTGGCAGAGTTTGACTTATCATAATCAACAGGAGCTTTCTCCTATTGATCCCCCGACTGCTAGGCAAATCAAATGGAAACCTCCACTGCAAAATTGGCTTAAACTAAATGTGGATGGTGCGATGGCGCATACTTCTTCCAAGGCAGGTTGTGGAGGCTTAATCAGAGATCATTCTAGTGCTTGGATCGTTGGTTTCTGTTATAAAATAGGCACTTGTAGTGCTCTTGAGGCTAAAGAATGGGCTTTAATTAAAGGCTTAGATCTAGCCTGGAGTTTTGGGTTCAAACACATTATCCTAGAATCTGACTCAAAGAATCTAATTGAGAAGCTGAACAGGAATGAGAAAGGGATTAATTGCAGCTTAATGTTCCTGAGAATAAGGGATATGTTGCATCTCAACTGGACTGTCCAACTACATTTTATACCAAGAGAGGCAAATAGGGTGGCAGACGGACTTGCGAAAATGGGTCTATCTCACTCGTGTCTGTTTGACCGGTGTCCTGATGAGGTGATAGAGTTCGTGGAAGGGGATATCAGTGGTTGTGAAATAGTCGATAACTAGTGTTTTATTTTCCTTGGGCTTTAGCCCTCGTTTGTACCCAAAAAAAAATTTATTACACAATGAACACTTGTGCACTCTCAAATTATGTGCAGCTTCTTAAGGTGTACATATGGCCTTTATCTTCATATTTTTATAGGACACTTGGAGGCAAGAGATGATCGAAATTTACTCTATAAATACCCCCTCACAAACCTTCAATTTCGGTTTT